TCTGGATCATATGCCCTCATGCAACAAATTGAATGAAGAACAGCAGCTACTGCCAGCAGCTCATCTTGGGGTGCTCTATATCTCCATAGTACTTCTGGAACTTGCATCTGGCTGCAGTTATAGCCTCACTCACATTATTCCAATGCTTTGTTGTCATCTCCTCATTTTCCAAATGAGCAAATAGATGATTGTAAGTTGCCCACATCATATGAATTGTTGGTCCCTTTGTCCTCAATATTGTCTTGATATAGTGATTGAACAGTAACAGAAGCTTCTCCATGTACTCCATCTGACCCCATTCACTCTCAGAAAGTTGTAGAGCCTGATATTTGGCTGCTGATTCTTGATTCCATGCATCTATCACTTCATGAAGAACTAACACTTGTACACACATTTCATATGTTGAATTTTATTGGGTTTGGACATCCTGGATCATCTTCTGCTTGTTGGTTTGTTGATACTCTTGGAATTGAGCCACAAGTTGAGGTGATGCATTGATGACATTAGTCATGAGTTGAAGCTGAGATCAGTCACACAGTTAGTAAATTGCTCCAAATGTGTCAAGACTGTTATCAAAATTCATTATCTTTTTGAGTGTATTTGCAAAGGTGTTATTTGATGAGAAATTCTTTTAAAGATCATCTTCATCAAATATTATTGACAACATATCATTCTCTGGCTGAATCTTGAGCTTGCAGACAAGCTCTCAAACCACAAGTTGAATCACATGAGTCAGACAGGATATTGTTCCAGCTTCTGAGTTTCATTCAGCAGATCTATTAAATCTTGTCAATATTGGCCACAGTTGTTCCTTCAGCTCCAATTGCATTGTATTGTTATTAAACATGTTGTTGCTTGTAATTGCTAGAAGCTGGTGGTCTAGCTTCCATGCAGTCAGACATTTTATAAGAACTTCTGCCATGTTCTTTTCTGTATGAACTTCATGTAAGCTCTCAAAATCTAGCAAATGTTCCCAGTACTCCCAGTTCTTTGTAATATAATATCCATTGATTGCCATAAAAGCAAGATTGTTGGGACTTGTCCAATTATTCACTGCCAAAGACATCTTTGTTGTCACATCAAGATCAGCCAGCAGTGTCTTAAAAAGATTATCATACATGGTGTTCATGACCTGATACAGTGCCTTGTGAGTTGGAATGTTGTTTGTCATTGAAGAATTGAGCATTGACATCATTGTCTTAAAGATTGGGTTTTCAATTGCACAGAAGGAGAGATTCAGAGATATTACAGTTCACACAAGTTGCTGCTGAAAGTTTTCTAGATTGCATTCAGAAATAGATGATATATTTCAAGAACATTTCCAATTTGACTCCTAGAACATCAGGACTGTTACCAAAATTTGTTACTTTTTCATATAGAGAAATGGAATAACCACTTACCATCAACTGTCATAAATCCTGAGATCCACTCCCTGTCTTCCCACACTCTGCACTACACAGATGTTTCTTCAACCCACTTGTGCCATTTTCAGTAAAGCTTGGATGCTTGAGAACTGCCTGACAATTATTGCAGATCACCACTGAGGTGCCACTTGAAAGCTCAGCTGCTTGATCATATTTGGCTCAGAAGTCTGAGTGGCAGTTTTTGACAGCTCAATTTGGATTTCAGTTTCTCTTCTCCCCAATCAACTGAGCAGTCTCTGTTGTTGACCATCAGATAGCAAAGATCTTTGTGTGCTCCAGTTGTCATTTTATATATACTACTTTCTCAATTAGCATCTGACTTAATTCAGAAGGGACTTCAGTAAAAGATGATGCATCATTGTCTATGATAACACTTTCTTGAGAGGCTGGGTTCATGATGACAAGTTGGCAACAGATTTATTGAAGATGAAGATTCTGAAGAATATTGAATTGAGAGTGGGCATGATGAAGAGTTTTATGATCTATATTATAAAAGAGAGAGAGAATGTTCTGACAATGACTTTCTTTATGATGAGAATATCCATGGAAGGCTTCTTGCATGGAGGCAATATTCATGAATTGCTTCTTTCATGGAGCAAATATCTGACAATGACTTTAAATTATAAGTAAACTATTTGCTCTTAGACATTAACAATCCAGTCATTCTTCTCCTTCTCATTCTTCTTCTCTTCATCAGAAGAGACAACAATCTCAAACTTCTTCTCACCCACCTCCTCTGGTGGTGGTAGCATCTCCTCATTCAATGAAGCCTGCAAATGGCTCTGAAATGTTTTCATCTCCTCCTCCACCTCATCCTTCAACAGACCAGCAGCAGCAAGACAATTGTGCTCATGTGCCATAACTTTGACTTCAAGGGCAGTCATCATTGCATGGGCACAGACCTGAATGCACACAGCAATTGGATGCACTGCAAGTTCAATTTTGATCTAAATGTGTTAGAATCATTACTAAATTTCATTACTTTTTAACATATCTTATTCTTGATCTCTTCTTGCATCTGCATGACTTCTTCATCATGCTTCTTCTTCTTCTCAGTCTTCTGCTTCTCACAGGCCACTAGCACCTGGTGCTTGTGGTATTTCTTGGACTTGCTCTTGACAAATCACTTGGCCATGAGCTCTTCAATGGTCTGATCTTCCATTGTCTGATGCTCTTGCTTGTTGGCATTCTTTCTGTGATCTGTGTCAGTATGATATAAGTCAGTTTGCTGCTGATAGTCTGATACACACCATAATTTCTTAGCTTGAAGCTTCTGAAGAGTATCATGACACATCTTGTGGTCTGCCTCCCTGACTTTAAAAACATTCTGATCTTGCCCAGCTAGAGTCTGTCTATTCTCTTGCACAGCACAGGTCTTCTTATGCATCAAATATTCATCTCATGAAGTCATTTCATCCATTGGTAGCAATGTTGGATGATTTGAGACACATTTGACTTTGTAATGAGAATGAGATGAGAATGTCTGAAATATTTGGATGCAATATCAAGCTCCTATACTGGCTACTGTTGCTATGCAGTTTACTACATTGTCATGCAATGTTAGATATGTTTATTTTGACACAATATGTTTGTTTTAATGTGATATCAAGCTGCCTACTGTTGCCATATCAGGATATGTTTATTTCAATGTGATATGTTTGTTTTGACACAATATCAAGCTGCCAATTTGTTTACTATAAACCCATAACCAGTTGCTGCAGTATCATGATATCAGACAGAAGACATAAAATCAGTATTTTTATCTTCTCTTCTTCTTCTTCTTCTTCTTCTTTCTTTTCTGTAGGCTAACCATTATCAATTTCATTTGCTGTTTGTTGGCCTCCCCACAAACCATCTCAACACTCTCATTCACTTCATCTCATCCATTTTCCTGCTGCTGCAACAATGAATTGTGTTGAGTTTCCCCACACTGGGCCAGTACAAAACCAGTGATGAGTTGCAGTATGAGGCTGCACTAAAGAAGTGGGAAGCTGCCAAGACAACTTGATATAAGGCAAACTCAAAGGCTGGTCTGACAGTCTTCAAAAAGAAGACTTCCCACCCTCAACTCCTCTGACATCAGTTGAAAGCTGATATCTGTATGTGAAAAAGTAACAAATTTTAGTAACAGTTCTGATGCTAATTGAATCATTTAGGTGTGATTCAGAAGATTAAACATCTTCAAAGGTTCACAGATCTTATTATCCCTGCAGCTGTGTTTCAGCAATTGATTTGTGAAATCATCATTAACTGTGGCTGAGATCATGATATCCACTGACAACATACTGTCATTAAAAATCTTCAAGAGGCTGTGGAGGCAATCATTGTTACTTTGTTCAAGTGTGAGTATTAACAATTGTATAAGTTGATATTCATATGACTAATGCAAATTGAAAAGGCTCAGTTATGGCAATGGTGCATCAGAAGCATGTGACTGTCAATGCTGAGAATATGTGTCTGATCATGAGAATTAGCTCCATAATTGGATTGCAGTTTTTTGAATCAATCAAAACAGCCAACCACTTCTGTTCTGCTGCCCCCACTGCCACCTCTGCCTGCTGTGCTGTCTGTCCTGCTGCATCTGCTGCCTCTGCTTCTGCTGCCTGTGCTGCCACTTCTGTCACCTCTGGGGCCTCTGGCTCTGTTGTGTGGTGGTGGAAGTTCAACTTTAAGACACCACTGAAGATGCTGTGAGAACCTGTTGAAGATGAGGAGGAGAAAGAGAACAATAACAATGAAGAAGAAGAAGAAGAAGGAGAGAAGAAAGATGAGCTGATGGAGGTAGAGAGCACCAATCTGTCTAACTAGATGAATATTTGTTGGACTGGCTTGAGCTGGCTAATAGCCTCAACATTATTCATTAATATGAATCATTTCTGAGGATATTGAGTTTTTCATTGATCATGATACACACTGTAGAAAAAGTAACAAATTTTGGTAACAGTTCTAGCATCTTAGAAGCAATTTGAGCTTCTTGCTATACATAATGAAACATAGAATCAGAAACCCATGTCCCATTCTGATCTCATCTTGGATTGTCCAGTATCAGAACCAGTGCCATCTACTGCAGAATGGGAAGGTTCTTGAGATGTGAATCTCATACTGGAATGATGTCAGCTGGAAATTACTTGAGTGCAGAATGAGATTCCATGTCCTGTTTCTCACCAGAATGGAATATGAGAGCAAGATGGCTGGTTCTGGGACAAATTCCCAATCAGATTTTGGGACTGAGACCAATGCTCATGGGATTTGAAATCTCAGAACTGGTCCTGCAATCCAGTCTAAATGCTAATATTTTTGTTGTTTTCTTATATAATCAATCAATTACTAGCATCAGCTGTTCCCAATCTAGCAACATGTGTTCAATATCAACAAATTCTCTTCTCTTCTTTCTTTCTCTCTCTTTCTTTTTCTGTTGTGGTTGTTTATTCTTCTCATTCATTATCCATCACTCATTCTCATTCCTTCATCATCTCTGTTGTTTGTCTTGTTGTACATCAATCCTCAGTTTCTTTTTCTATATCTCTCAAAGACCCATTATTGTCACTGTTCTTATTTGTCTGTCACCTATCTCAACTTAAAGTTATATTCTATCTTCTTCTTTTCAAAATGTCTTCAAGATCATCTAAAACTTCTTCTTTCAAGCATTTCACTACTGCTGATAGTTCTCTGTTAAGCTGCAGACATAAATCAGATCATAAACAGTCTGTATCAGATCTTGCTGATCTGAACCATTGCACTCAAGTTGATAAGTGGCTCTTCTCTCAGACCTGTCACTCTCATAGGCTTATCTTCCAAGCAGTGTCATCTTAGTTGAAAAAGAAAAGATATCATAAAGTTGAACATTGTGAGCATCTTCTTTCTACTGCTGTTATCAATAAGCAATGGTTGTCTTCTGATCTCTTTGTGGATAGTGAGAATGGTGCAGATACTGAAATGGTTGATGTCAATCTTACTGCTGAAATTCATATCATGAATGATAATATCAGTGACAATAATGGTCTCAGTGATGCAGAGCCAGAGCCTATGCTCCAACTTTCAATATTCATTGAAAAATTCATTATTATTGCTGAGAAACTTCTTAAGAAATCTATCATCTCTGTCAAGAAATCCATCATGAGCTCTGTCATTCAAATCAAAAAGTCCACTGTTCTGTCTGCTGATATCAAGAAATCTGTTGTGAACTCTGTTATTTAAATTGAAGAGTTCATTGTTCTGACTGCTAGTTCTATTTCTTTGGCTGAAACCAATTCCACTGTTGTCTCAAAGACTATCAACTCCATCATTGATATCACTTCTGACTTTATTAGTGATAATGATGACTCCTGTGGCACAGAGTTGAAGTCAATGCCACCATCTTTATTGTCTTGTCAGAAATCTCTTGATTTTTGTGATTCTTTGCTCCAGAGTACATCTCCAATTGACTTTCTGCTCTATTGTGAATTAAATGTTGAATCTATCATCTATAATCTCTTGCTGAACAAATTTCTTGATTTGCCAAAACATTTCAGTTGAGTTTCTTCTCATGCTCTTCTGATCAAGACTCCTAGCACTCATCTCAAGAACATTGTCAATCTTTCTGATAATATTAATCTGCAATTTGTTGTTTGTTCTGCTGTTCTCAATCAGATTGTTACTTCTTTCTTGTCTGTTTGTGAATTCAAATCTGACACCACTGAAGTTTTTAATTATGAACTCAGATATGAATCTGTTGAGTTGATTCTCCAATCCAGCATTCTCAGATATATCAAAATCTGAGATGAACCAGAGAATTCTGAATCTCCATCCAAAATTCTATCTGTCAATAATGATTTGATTTGTAACAACTTTGTCACACTCTTTTCTTCAAATTCTGATTTGATTACTGATCTTTTTCATTGCATTGTAACTGTCTTTCTCAATATCAATGTCACTGTCTATAAGATTTTAGATTTCACAGTCTGTGTTTTCTGTCACTTCTTTATTGAGTCTATCATTTAAGCAGCTCAAGCTATCAGTCAGCTCACTATAATTCAATCTGTTCAATGGTGGGGTAGCTCTCCTGAGAATCTTCTTCTTGACATCAAGTTTATCAGTAGGAGCTCACAAACAAATGCTGTTGTTGTATACACTCACAGAAAGATTAATGAAAAATCTTGTCTTTCATGCTCTTACAGCAACAGTTCTTTTCAGCTTTGTGTCACTGCCACAAGCTCAACAGATAAGAAGATTGATAAAAAGATCTGTGTCTCTTGTATCTGATCAAATTCTCCACATCTCTGCTCTCTTCATTCAGACTTCAAGATCAACTCTTCTTCTGACAGTAATTCCAATCCAAAATCTTCCTGTCTGTTGTGTTTCTCAAGACTAAGTCATCAAAGAACAAGTCTATCCCAATTAAAGAAAAAATCAAGTCTGCCCACACTGATAAGACATCTGAGTGTGTTTTTTTAAAGTCATATCTCAATTTGCAGTCTTTTATGAGCTCTCTAAAGAACTCTACTGATGACATCAAACAACTCCACACTGCCAGTGCAGCTGTTATTTTTGTTTACAATAAGATTCTCAATCATATTGAGAAATTGAAGAAGGTTGCAGAGAAGAAAGAGTTTGTGAAGTCATCAGAATTCAATTACAGTTGATAGACTCTTCTCTGATCTGGATCATGTGTCTTTGAGCACTTCATTTATTTTTCTAGATAGAGTAAAATAGTTGATAGAAAATTCAAGAAACTGTTTATTAATGTCTTTCATTCTTCTCAACTTCATCATAGCTAGAATAATCACTTAACAACCTATAATCATGAGTCTTAACTAAATCACAACAGCAAAGAGTCCATCAAACAAATCAGTAACAGGTTGGACTCTTCTCTCTACTCTACTCAACATATCATCATCAGAGATATCTCTTCATTTATTGCTGAATTTCTTCTGTTCTGATCCCAATAAACATTCTGACTCATCTTGATTTTCTGTGTGGAATCAAGTTTTGTGCTTACTGCTCAATCTGTAAGAGAGCTGATTACTTCTCAAGACAGTATCATCTTTCTGTTGATCTTTTTTTCTGATGATACTATGTGTAATCACTCTCTTCTTTCTATCAGTAACTGAATCATCCTCTAAACCATTTTTGAGTTTCTTTCACTCATATTTGATGATTGTTGATAGTTTCTGATAGAAAGTAACTTCATTTTCATACACATCCACAATGTGTTGTACCTCTATAGATCTTTCAACTGACAGATTCTTCTTCTTTAGAGCATGAGTTACTGCTGACAAAGACTATAATTCTTCTGAATTCTCTATTTCTGCTTTTATCAATCTTGAATTATTGATAAGATTCTTTAGAATCTGACTGCTTGATTCTTTCAACACATATGTTTCAAGCAGGTGTGATTTGATCACTCAATAGAGATCAAATCATTATGATTGAAACTTCTCTGAATTCTCATTCTGAATGAGGACCCATGTTCTGACTTCAAAATTCATTTCACAGACTACATCATCTTATATATGCTTTGATTTGATAGCCCAGTTGAGAAGAAGTTTGTTTGCTAACAACTGTGTGTGAGTAACATTCTGAATTTACTTGTCTGTGTTCTCAACAGAGACATCATCTGAAATTGATTTGTTATCATCAGACAGAATACACAGATGCACATCATATAGAAGATAGAAGAGGCTCAGCTTATTTGTCACATGTAAACATATGTGTGCAGTGAATAAAGCTTGTGACAGATACTCATCTCAAAGTCTAGTTGACTTGCTGAAAAGATATTTTGTTAACATTTTATTAATAAGACTGTTTAAATTCTCAATCTTTCTGTTTGTTTGTAAGTGATAAGATGTTGTCATGTGATGCTTTATTTTTAATATTATCATATAGTGTTGAATGGCTTCTGACAGAAGATTGGCACCATTATTCAACAACAACTCACATGGTGCATCAAAGTTAATAAATATCTTATTGTGAATGAACTTCACAATCTCTTTATTTGTTGCTTTCTTGAGAGATTTGGCTATCAGTCAACTGGTCACATAATCAACAGCTGTTATAATTCATTAATTTCTGTTGAATGTCATGGGCAAGATTTCTATAAGATTAATGACTCATCTCTTAAAAGACTTTATACTTACATCTATCATGTGCTGAGCTTCTTCATGTTCTAAATTCTTTTTTGATTCTTTCACAATTTAACAATTCAGACATCACTTGATCTCATTCTGAATCTGCATCTTCATGTCAGATCAGTAGCTGCAGAATCAGACAACTTCTAGAAGTTCTGGACACTCAAGATGATTAAATTCATCATGCATTCATTAAATCAAGTCACTTCAAAAAGACTTTTCAATATACAGCACTTTCATATTTTTGTCAACAATCTGAACAAGCATCTCATTATATCTATCACTCAGATCCAATTTCCCATATCAGAACATATGACTCATCTTCTCAACTGATCAGTAAAGTGTCAGATCATCAGACAGTTGTTTTAATTAAAGATAGATCATCATTATCTCATATCACTTCTCCTCTGCACATCTATAGAGAGCAGCAAGAGACTCTTCTTGAGCAATATTAATCAGTTCTTGATTAAGAAAATCAGAACACCTACTGATGACATCAGAAACAATAGCTTTCTTATCTGAGCAATATTTGATTAACAGGTCATATTTCTGAAAATTGACAACTCAACAAGCAAGACATTTCAACAGCTTATACATTGTCTGAAGATACTGCAGACTCTCATGATTAGTGATTATAGTGATCTGCATTTCATTGTCAATATATCAATTGAACATCTTCAACACATGCTTTATCACTAAAAGCTTCTTTTCATAAACTGGATAGTTCAGTTCAGCCCCCAAAAGCTTCTTACCATTAAACACAACAGAATGAAGGAGATTGTTGTCTCTCATCTGATAAAGAGCACAGCCAACAGCTCATTTCAATGCATTCATCTCAATCATGTAAGCTTTGTTCCTATCCAGTTGAATTGTGACAGAATTCTTCATTATCATCTCATGCAATTTCAGAAATGACATCTGACAAGACACATTCCAGATTATCAGATAAAACTTCTTCTTTCTCAATTTCTCATTCAACTTCTTTAAAAGATTTGATAGAGGCACAGCAATTCTTGCAAAGTTCTTTATGAATCATTAATAAAACATGACAAGATCTAAGAACTGCTGAACTTCATGCACATTCTTCAGTACAGATTAATTCACAATCATATTCATCTTTGTCAGTAGTGGTTGAATGACCCCCTTCCCAACAATATAATCACAGTACTCAAGCTCATTCTTTAAAAAGATGCACTTGGACATCTTAGCATATAACTTGTGCACACAAAGCTCATTAAATACTTTCTTCAAGTGCTCAAGATATTCTTCCTCAGATTTCAAAAAGACAATAATATTGTCAAGATACACCAGACAAAAGGTATCAGTATACTTTATTAGAATAACATTCATCATTGTTTGAAACAAGAGCAGAGCATTTGTGAGTCTGAAAGACATTACTAGAAACTCATACTTTCTCCATTAAGTATTGAAGACTGTCTTTTCTATTAATAGTTCATTCATTTAAACTTGTCAGAAACCTGCTGCTAAGTCAACTTTTAACAAGATTTTTGCAGTTTCAATAGTGTCCAGCAATTTCTGTATTCTAGACAACAGATACTTATTTTTCTTGATGACTTTGTTGAGAATTCAATAGTCAACACACATTCACCATGCTCCTTCTGTCTTCTTCATAAATAGAACAGAAAAACTTCAAGAGCTAGTCAATGGTTGGGCCAGTTCTCATTTCAAAAAATTATTAATTTGCCACTTCTGTTCTTCCAGAAGTGCTTGCAATAGAGAATAGACACAGATATTTATCAGATTCAAATTCTCCATGTCAATATTCATTTTAAACAGTTGATCTGGTGGAAATTTCAGTGGTAAATTCTTCTGAAAAACATCACTATAGTTATCAAGCAACTTTTTCAATCTAGAATTCTCAGTAGAAGTATTCTTCTTCTCTTCTCCTTTCTTTTTCTTGAGCACATATAGAAAACACTCCATCATAGACTTTCAAAGTGCATGTGCTAACTGATGAGTCATTATTAGATTAAGTCTTTCAGCTTCAGCTAGCATGTATTGTTGCATGTCACAAGACAGTATCATGTGGCACTGCTTTCTTCAATCAGTAATTGACATCATCAACAATTT